CACACACACACACACACACACACACACACACACACACACACACACACACACACACACACACACACACACACACACATCAGCACATTGTAACTATAAATAAATTAAATATTCCTTTTGTTAAGAAACATTAATTTCTTTGTTTACCCGTCCTCTCCTGTTATCGCTCAAGGTCCAGTCCCGAGTAAAGAGATTCAGTTTTCTTACTCAAATTCGGACCACTCGCCGTACGTCGTCGCGCTAGTAAAGTTACCCTTCTGGTCGTTGACTAGCTCTTCGACCTATAAGTACAGGTGAGGCTTTCTCTATGTTGCGTTCTCCTACAGGACGTAACATATAGCCAAATTTTTGGGGGCTCGTCCGGGATGAATAAAGCGATAATCATAATAAGAGCATGAATACACAATCTACTTCCGACAAAGCCGAGATAGAAAAAACTTATCACTAAGCAACAACTCCCGCATCGCTTCGTCGATCTCGCTAAACACACTTACAACAACCCTCATACACCTCTATATCATTCGTACCTCGCGATCAACCTGTTTCCACCACACCCTTATCACCTACAGCACTTCCACCTGACGTCCCAACACCTGTTATAAAGAAAATCTTGAGTGATAGTCCACTGTCTCCTTCGGGCAAATGCCTCACCACTGGGAATTAATCCTCCTCCCGCTACCATAGAAGAGGAATCCTTTGAAGAAAATCTAGACTTGAGAAAATAATTCTTGTGGCGACGTGACACAATACGTATCATTCGATAAATCTGTATACTCATTCCTAGCTACCGAAAGTACTATAGAGACGACCGATAAAGAAACTACCAGAAATCTCGGCGTAGACTCAAACGCGATAACAAAGGGAACCGACGTTGAACCTGTTATCTGTAGAAACATGACCACTAATAATTTTTCCGGCACCTTGCGTTACGCTGTGGAGGCCGTTCCATTCTTTGAAGGCCTAAATATATCGTTAGAATATTTTATAGAGGGATGCGAATTAGCGAAATCCATGCTGCCACCTGACAGCGAAATTTATTTAACCAAAATCATCCATACTCGATTAACCGGTAAAGCTCGACGTTCGGTACAAGATCAGGATTTTACGCAAATTAACCAGTTAACATCATATTTAAAAAGCATTTTCGGACCCACCAAAAGTCTTTACGAACTACAAGCAGACTTAGGGCGCGTATATCAACTAGCAGGCGAACAAATAATACCCTACGCCAATCGTGTAAAAGCAATCGGGAAACGCATCCTAGAAGCCTATCGTGCCATCGTTAGCGGACCCATGGGTGAATTAGTCAGAGCATCACTAGAAAAGGAACTGTGCAATAGTTTTATCAGAGAATTAGTCCCGGAGATGGAACAAAGAATCTCCCGAAATCTAGACGTAACGGGCACGGTAAACGAAGCATTGAGAATAGAAAGGGAATTACGTGCGATTAACGAATTGCGTGGTACACAAATCCACTCGTCGTCGCTAATTTACAAACCTGCCAGATATGTAAAACTTCTGGTCACGCCGCGGATAATTGTCAATTATTGCGAAACTCCAACTTGGGTCACGAAATTCTAACTTGTCAACTCTGTAAAAAACGGGGCCACAGCGCGAACAAATGCAGATCGAGAGACCGCGCTAGTGTTGCGTCCGTAAAACTTGTGCAAAGTAATGTAATCTCGTGTCAAATTTGCTCGAAATCCGGTCATGCTACTCAAACCTGTCGATCAACTCACAACCAGCCTAATGTTACTTGCTATAATTGTCAAAAACCCGGTCATCTTGCTAAAAACTGCCAATTTCCCCGTAACCAATTAAATGATTTGCCAGAATTGCCAGAAATCCGGTCATACCGCTAGAGATTGTCGAAATCACTCAGTTACTACTAATGCTGTTCACTGTCAATTATATAATAAAACGAGTCATAACGCTAAGAATTGTTTCATTAACACAAATAGGAATACTTTAATTAGTAATATCGCTGAGGCGTGTCAATAGTGTGAACGCCCAGGACACGTCGCTTCTCAATGCCGCGCGAGGCAATTGGACAATCAAGGTTCGCTGGCCAGTAACAATTCAACCATATGCCAACTATGTAATAAAACCGGACATAAGGCCAAGGACTGTCGTGGAAACTAATCAATTTTAGGCCTATCAAATCAGTGCAGGTATTGCAGGGAAACGGGTCATTAGTGTTAGGATTTTTACAATGAAGAAATCAGGAATCCTGGTAGTTGAAGGCTTTACTACTTTATAACTGAACTCTGTCTTACACCAGAGAGAGAGCCTCCTCTCCTTGTACAGCCATAGAGCCGGCGCTGACTAGACTAGACTAGCCATCTTATATATGTATAGAAACCAGGCTAACCAACTTTTATCAACGCGCAGTACATATAACATAAAAGAAACTAAACGCAGTAGTATAATACTAAAACTAAAATTAACCATAATGAATACGCAAATCCCTACATCTCCCCACCTGCGTAGAGTTATGTAATTTTTACAAACAGATATATAAAACACAAAATTTTGTTTCACGCTATAATTAATATAGATTTACTTCCTCACAACTCCACACCAATTTTTCTTTGGTCACAGCTTTGGTAAGAAAATCCGCTTTCATTAAGTCTGAATTAATATACGATACATTAATATGTCCCTTAGCAACTTCATCTTTGACGAACTGAATTTTTAACAAAACATGACTACGTGACGATTTTGCATCTTTTAACACATCAATAGCTGATTGACTATCAGTTGCTATGTACACAGGTAGCTTGTAAAAAATTTCAAAGCTAAGCTCGGATAATAAACCAATTAGCCATTTTACATTTTTAGTTACATCATTAATCGCAAATAGTTCTGCTTCACACGTGGAGTCCGCTACGCATTTTTGTTTATGACAGTTCCACATTATAAGTGACTTGCCCAGTTGAATTACCCCACCTGAGAAAGATTTCATTTTGACTGCATTCCCCCAACTCGCATCACTACTACCATTGAGTTTACCTTGTTCTCGGTTATAACGAAGCTTATAATTTAAAGTACCTGATAAATAACGTAAGACTCTTTTCCATTATTAAGTGACGCTTCTCGGGATGGGTATTGAATTGTGATAGGTAACTCATTGCATAAGTAATATCTGGTCTAGATCTGTTGCTTAAGGGGAGATATACACCTAGGAGCCGGAAAAAAAGGTCATCTTTGTGAATTTTTTTAAGGAAAACTATTTGAAATTTCGGATTGGGGGTTTTTCTATCTAAAAGTATACACATTCAGGAATATGTCCAATTTTTTTTATTAAAAAAAATCAAAAATTGACGAGGTTGTGGTATAATCTTTGGAGCGCCGTAAAAAAATCCGGGTAAACGGTACCCACTGGCGTTTCTTCAAAAATCATCTGAAACAAAAAAACCAAAAAGATTATTAAATTAGATACTATAATCTAGTACTTGTCATAGCCGATTTTGAAAATATCGATTTATGACAAAATGGCGGACGTTTGAACATAACATAGCGATTTTTCGACCAAAAATTAGTTATTATTTTGCCTATAAAACAAAAACTAAGCAACAAAAAAAAAATCCCATGACAAGATAATGTACTAGATAATGATGTATAGAATAACCACAAAAAAATTCAAGGCAATCGGTTCATTGGTTTTCGAGAAATTTTGGGTACCGATTTGAAAAACGTGGTTTTGAGAAAAACGCGTTTGAAAATTTGGGAATGAATAAATCATTAAATTTGTCAACTTACATGGAATCATCGATACCAGGCCCATAGTGTAAGTCTTCTACGGTCGACGGAATGTTCATATTTTCTAAATTTTGTTGTCGGCGCCGTATTCGACCTTCTTTAGTCTGTTCTTGCGCTTGCAGCTCGGCTTTCGCTATGCGAGTTTCGTCTTCTTGCGCAGCGTACAAGTGCGCGCCCGATCCGACTGATATTCCTAATACGTTCATAATTTCTAACAATGACGTGACACCATTGTTGAACGTGCATGTTGCAAGAAATGCAGCAATGTTAACAATTTTGGCCCCGCTGTGCATCGTTTTTGGAGCTATCTTCCAAATAAGTTGGTTGAAGCTCTCATTGCTGTTTTGTGTGTATCCGCCAACACAGCGTTTCAACAATTTGTCATTGCTGAGATCTTCGTAAATTGGTTTGATGGGATCTAACACCGTTTTTGGCAATGCTGAATAATCGTGACGGAAATTCCTCAGTTCTCCTTTAGCTTTCGCTTGTTGCCACTTGCACCACGATTCCGGGCCTTCGGGACAAAAATGATGTTCAGGCTTGCTGTCTGTTGAGCCGTAATGGTAGAATGTTGCCCATATCGCTTTTTTCATGTCATC